CTTTTCTTTTCTATTGTCTGAATATTCCTGCAATGCACCGACAATTTAGAGCTCTTAATCCTTGTTAGGCAGTCTCCTACCAAGTATCAACTGAATATTCAATGTGAAAATCAAATATTTGTGTTTCTTACATCAAATCTCAGTATCAAAGGGAAAAAGGAAAGTTCCTGTCTCCTGGATTTGATTGATTAGATGTCCTTTGAACACAAGTGATACTTATTGAATAGTCCCTTCACTTTATTTACCTAGTCTTTTACATCTGCCACCTATTTGAAGACATTTTAACGGATGTTGCAGGGCCTGGGTGATATTTCCTTAGTTTGAAGTCTTTTACATCATACTTGGAACTTGCTGGAATTTGTTGGTGGTTCATTCTGCTGCATGTTTCTAATCGTCTGTTTTACTGTTTAGTTGACTAATATTTTACAAAAGTGTGACATTTCCTTGCTTTACGCTGCAGTCTGTAAGAAGCCACAAACGTGGAAGTTTGATTCGCAATGGTATGCTGGAAAATATGGATCCAGAGTTTGGTGGTGAGCAGACAACCTTAGCGGATTGTAGTCAATATGAGAAGGTGAGGGCAGTCCAATTTAACACCCAAAAAGTCGGACGCAACCAAAACAATACAAAAGGGCTCGATAAGTTTCCAGTTGAAAATGGTGATTTGGATGCTGAAGCGGGCCAGACTCTGACAGAAGACCTCAAGACGGCACATCCCTTACAGGGAAAACATGCTTCTGAGTATTCATCAGCAGCTCAGAATGTGAATAGGCGAACATTCTGTGGAGAAATTGGTTCCAGTGGGGACAAGGTTGCAGAAGGATATGACAACCAAAGGATTCTTGCGACGAAGGCAAAAATGGAGAAACGTGGGGAGCGTTTTAAGGAGCCAATCACCCTGAAAAAAGAGCCAGACAAGTTGTCCAAGCCTGAGATTGATCTAGTTGAAACAGCTGAAGCACAGTTACATAGGCCAAGCCGAAAGAGGAGGTGGGGCGGTATAGAGGCTGTTTAGGAGACTTGTGGTTGAAGTCTTTGACAGGATGACTTGTGCTATTTGAAGCAGGTCAATAAACTATAAAACACAACTCAGCAATCAAGATGAAGAATCAGGTTAGAAATTTAATTTGCTTTCCTCTTTCATTGAAATTGGAGGAAAGATTTGATATCTAAATGTACTGACATTTTCCCTACCTGAAAAAAGCTCATTGGTATAATAATAATAATCTCCCATGGTGATTCATTTTTGAGGATTTGTACAATTTCGTAGGGAGTCGCTGCTTTCTGTTAGTTTCTCATACAATCTTATTTCTTTGAAAAAGTGATGGTGATGATCAATTGCAGATGGCCAAACATCAAGTTCATGAATTTTTTGCTCGAATTCGTTACGTTTTTTTTGTTCAGAATGCAGACTGATGCCATTCACTCTAATATCGTTCTTGCCTGTACGCGAGCTTTATAGCTGGTTGTTTATTTTGTTATGGCATACAAGCTCAGCTAATTTTGATCACATATTTTGACATTGTGTGAGCTACTGTCCTGCTTTATACAGGTTACTCCTTAAAATTTGATTTTATGACTGATCATGCTTTAAATGGAAGAAAATGAGATCTAGAAAAAGGGATCCTACGTTTTATGCGATGTAAGAGATACTAATAGGTAATATACGTCTGGTTACGTTGAAAAACTTAGTCCGACTACATTAAAAAACTTAGGTAAGACACACTGCCAATGTCATCCTATACAACGCCTCTTATAAAAAAAATGAGACGAACTATTTTTTGATCTCATCGGATTACAATGAGCTTTCCTGATATGTGGCCATGTAGAAAAGGAACTGCAGAGAGTTCTACCTAAAAACACATGCTCGCATGTTTAGATTTTGGATTGTTTTTGTCGGATGCGCTATCTGATCTTTAAAAAACTGACCAATGAGGGGGTTCCACGTAGAATAACAAATCTGTCCTCATCAGAACCCAGGAAAAAGAGTGGAAACGTGGCAAAATGTAGACCAGTCTACTCAACTCAAGTACATGTCGTCTCACTTGGAGGAAACTGTTACCCGGTGACCGTTAGTTTTGAGATTGCTCTTCTGGAAATTCCAATTGACTAAAATATCCTTTCGAATACGAAATCCCAAGAAACTATAACAAAATGATATAATCTAGTAACTTCACACAAACTTTACTGAAAATCGCAACGCTCATTTGCTGAAAAAACACTAGCTTGTAATGCAAGAATCGTTAATCTCATTCAAATCTCCCCAGCCACAAAAAAAAAAAAAAAAAAAATCGTTCATATTCCAAGTAAGAAATGTGCTTAAATTGCCACTGAACTTTTATTCGAAATCCAACTTTTTAGATCAACTAAAATTAAATAATGTGCCAGTTGAATTTTATACCAGTTTATCACCTAAAACTTCAAAGTTTGTCTAGCATGATTATTCGAAATCCAAATTTTGCAGATAATAAATCATTTGTTATTTGTTCACTTAATTCATGCTATGAGCCGATTTGTCATTCTAAATTTTTTATTTTTATTACTCCAGTGAAAATCTATTAAACTCTCATGTGCTAAGCACATGCATGCCTATCATTTCAATACCAAATAAAATGAGAAGAAATACCTTTTTTACTTTGGTTTTTGTTGTTTTTTTTAATACAAGAGAAATGTGTAGGGTCCAAAAGTGCGCACGTCCACGGCTATAAGGATATAATAGTAATTATACAGACGGCATTCTTCCTCTACCCGCCTCACATTCGCGGTTTCAACGTGGATCATACAATACAGTTTAATCCGTTAAAACACACACAGACAGAGTCACAGAAATGCACCTTCTCTCTTCTCCCTCCTCCTCCAACCCCCCCAACTTCTCTCTCTTCTCCGCCTCCCAAAACCCTAACCCCCTCTCCAAATTCACCTTCCGGATCCCCACTTTGCCCCTCCACTCCTCCCCCTATTCCCTCCCCGCCCCTCCGCCTCCCCGCTGCTCTTCCCGGGACTCCTCCACCCCTGTCCTCGACCCGCTCCCCGCAAACGCCACCGTTTCGACCGAGAGCCAGAGTAATGATGTCCCGCCGGAGACAGAGTCCGCGAAACGTGAGCTCGTGGTTCGCCGGCCGGCGATGGAGGTCTCCGGCGAGGGAGATGGTGGCGGTGCGGCAACTACTGTCCTCGACGCAGGGCTTGCCGAGCTGGCGAAGAAGATGCCGATATTCGAGCCGGAGGCTGCGGAGTCGGGCGTGAAGGAGAAGCCGTTGGCGGTGAACTTGGACTTGGCGTTGTACAGAGCTAAGATCTTGACCAGGAACTTCCGGTATGCGGAAGCGGAGCAGATACTTGAGAAGGTATGTATGGATATGGAGTTTGGGAAAGTGTTTGTGAAAATGCGAGTTTGAATATTTTTGGAGTGCTTGATTGGTAATGCTCTGTTTGATTTGTTTTTTGGTTTGCGAAAGTGTATATATTATTGGCCGGAAGATGGGAGAGCTTATGTGGCATTGGGGAAGGCGTTGAGCAAACAATCGAAGACCGCGGAAGCTCGAGCTGTGTATGAGAAAGGGTGCCAAGCTACTCAAGGAGAAAATCCATACATTTGGCAGGTGGGTTTTCTTTGTTTTTCCAAAGTGAACTCTCTGCAATTTGTTATTCATCTAGGAAAAATGGAAGCATAGATGTCTGGAACTTCATTGATTATGACCAATGGCTATTGATGCATGTTAGTTTTCGGGTTTTGTTAAGATGAGCCGCTTACATTCACTAAGAAAGATGGAGTTGCTGCCTAAATTAGTGAATGATTTAGTTGTTGATTCTTTATGGATATGAACAAATCAGGCACTCCGTTGTTTCTTGTAAGCGTCCGAAAGAATCTTGTTGGGAACTATATGTGGGAATAGATCTTGTTAGGATTGATTGATTGATTTTATTAATTGAGGTGGTTTTTTACAGTGCTGGGCTGTTTTGGAAACTAAGATGGGAAACATAAGAAGGGCTAGAGAATTATTTGATGCCGCCACGGTTGCTGATAAGAAACACATTGCTGCCTGGCATGGGTGGGGAGTTCTAGAGCTAAAGCAGGGAAATATAAAAAAGGCAAGGCATCTGCTTGCTAAAGGTCTAAAATTTTGTGGCGGGAATGAGTACGTATATCAGACACTTGCATTGCTGGAAGCTAAAGCAAATCGCTATGAGCAGGCTCGGTATTTGTTCAGCCAGGCCACTAGGTGCAATCCCAAAAGCTGTGCCAGTTGGCTTGTAAGTCATCATTTTCTTGCACGCACGCAGGCTTCTCGATGACAAAGTAACTTTTCATTTCTTTTCTGGTCTGTTGAAATGTTTTCTCCTATTAATTTGTCCAATTCTTACAATGCAGGCATGGGCTCAGTTGGAGATGCAACAAGAAAATAATCGTGCTGCCAGGCAACTATTCGAGGTGATTTTTTATTAGTAAATTATCAAATAGGTCATGCATGTCTATCAGTTCGTCTTAGGACTTTGCAGCAGTATTTTTTCTTAGAAATTTAGAATGATTTAGTTACTAAATGGGCTATGTTATTTTGTTTCGGTTTATTTTCTGTGTTTCTGGTGTTGATTTTGATGTTTTCCACCTCTCTGTAGAAATCGATACAGGCAAGCCCCAAGAATAGGTTTGCGTGGCACGTTTGGGGAATGTTTGAAATTAATATAGGTAATGTTGACAAGGCAAGAAAGCTTTTAAAGATTGGCCATGCACTCAATCCAAGGGATCCAGTTCTCCTTCAGTCCCTTGCTTTATTGGAATATAAAAACTCAACCGCGAATCTTGCTCGGCAGTTGTTCAGGAGAGCATCTGAGTTGGATCCAAGGCATCAACCAGTGTGGACGGTATGACTCTCTTATCAGTACAGAGATCTGAGTTTGATTGTAAATCATAAACCTGATGCAATTTTTTTTGTTTGATATGACCGGCCGTAGCCGACCCCACTTAGTGGGAAAAGGCTTTGTTGTTGTTGTTGTTGTTGTTGATATGACCGGCCTGATAAATTATGTCTGTGACTTGTATAGGTAATGTTTGAAATTAATATAGATAATGATTGTAAATCATAAACCTGATACAAGTGGAATCTGTGACTTGTATACCGCTAATTTATTGGGCGTTTTGTTGCCTGCATAAAGTGACTTGCATCTTCTTGTTGCTTACCATGACATTCTTTTTTATCTTTGTTTCATACAACATCATAATTTCTTTGTACAAAAGAAAAGTGATTTCCCTCTTTTATGCATTGACTACTTGCTGATAAAACCTGATAGAAGTATCTTTAGGATCACAGGGCTTGTTTGTGTATACATGCATCATTGAATTTAACACAAAACTAATTCATTGATTGCAAAATCTTCGGATGTTTAGGCTTGGGGGTGGATGGAATGGAAAGAAGGAAACATAGAGACAGCAAGGAAATTGTATCAAAAAGCATTGTCTATTAATTCAACTAGTGAAACTGCTGCTCGTTGCCTACAGGTAATGACCGTAATTAGGTATCTGGTATCTTATATATACTATATAGAATGTTCAGCTAAGTTTTTAATGAAACTTCCTTTGCGTCCTTTCTATCATGATTGTTAGCAAAAGGATTAGCAACGACACATAAGAAGCAATATTCTTAAAGATGAAACATAGATCAATCAATGTCATTGCAACGTTATCCACATGTGTGATTATGAAGGCTTTAGGCAATGACCATCTGTTTGTGTGGCAGGCTTGGGGAGTTCTAGAACAGAGAGTTGGTAACCTATCAGCGGCCAGGAGATTATTTAGGTCCTCCCTCAATATAAATTCTCAGAGTTATGTCACATGGATGACATGGGCATCATTAGAGGAAAATCAAGGAAACGCTGTACGGGCAGAGGAAATTCGCGACCTCTATTTCCAGCAGGTTAGTACTCACTAATTAGCTAGGTTACTGCATCTTACACGTGAAAAGGCTATTTGTTTGGGATGCAAGTCTTGGAAGGCTTCAGGCCCTCAACATTGAACACTCTTTTTGGCTTCTTGCAACAGCGTACTGAAGTTGTAGACGATGCTTCATGGGTTATGGGATTCTTAGACATCATAGATCCGGCCCTTGAACGTATAAAGAATATCTTGAGGTTGGACCAGAGTTCAAAAGAAATGCGACAGGACGCTTTGCGAACAATAGTTGGAGCAAATGAAAGTAGCATCGATGAAGAGCCAATCAGCCCTTCCTCTAATAGCAATGACATGGAAAGCGAGAGTGGGTTCGATGTGGATGCATTTGTTAAGGAAAAGTTATCTCTAGACCCATCAAAGCTAGAAGTTCAGATGGTGACCTCGCGGCCTTTTCCGGTAAACAGAAGTAGAGTGTGAGCATTGTAGTGAGATTTGCCAATGGAGAACCTGTTACATAAGATGGAGAGGATCTCCAGAGGGATCTTCTAGTACAGAAAAGGTAGAGCATTTGAATCGTATATAGGATTCATTTGACCCTGCAATCTCCCACTGAAATCCGGTTGCAGTATATATACTGGGATAAATTAAGAGGCCTCCTTTCTATGGCCTCTGTGATTAATTTGTAGCATGAATTTTGAGGGTTCGCTTTGTATATTTCATATCTCTGACTCAAAAGCTTGAATTGTTCTATCGGGGCCCTTGTAATTTACTGGACAACATCAATGGCAATACCATTTTAAATTGGGGTTTACACAACAAAGTTACGTCGTCACAGTTGGATTAGTCACACCCAGTTATCGAATTATTTATGTATAATGTACTGCCCATGCATATACGTGAATCGAATTTACAATCTTCTCCAATCAATTAATAAAGGAGGACTATCGTTTGATCATTTGGCTATTGGTCAATTTCTTTTGGTCATTCTGTTGTCAATCAGCACACATGATTCCAATGAGTGATTCTAATTAGTTATTGGTGGAGTGTAGTCGTGTACCACACTGATGAGATGATAAACAAGCATAACCATGCATGTAAATCAATATATATATATATATACACACACACACGATTAATTAATGATTGAATCTTTTGATGGTACTACATAAACGACTAGATGCTAAGGAGACTCTGAAAATGAGCGACCCTAATAATTATTTTTCATATTAGGCCTAAATTCCCATGAAAAATGCTAAGAAGACTCTCTCAAAGTGAGACTTTCTGCCCCCTCACAATTTAACATTAATTATCGTCCCAACATTATAAAATATCGTATAAAAAATAAGGTGATAAAAACTCATTTTTTAGAAAGTCTCCTTAGCATTTCTCATCCGACAATATTATAAGTCGCGAGTTTAAAATTATATTATTGTGGATGAGTCAAATTTTACTTATTTCAAATCAACTCACTCATCATTTAAAAAATAATAATTCAAGTTTCCCTTTACAGTAATTTCCACGTTTTTTACTACAATTCAAGTTTGACCCATCTGTCTTAACGAACAAAGAAAACAGTAATGGAATGAAACCGCTGAAAAATTACATAGGAAAGTATCTGCGTGTCTTGGAGTCCAAGTAAGGAAGAAAATCTCAGAGTTGGAGCAAGAATCAAGATTCAGATCAGGAAGATAGCGGACAGCCGGATTCAATCCCAAGAATTAATCCCAGAAGACCAAACCAGAAATGGTTTGAAGGCAGTGAATTATGTGCCAAGTAATGTTTCATAATTCCTGGGAAAAAACCCTATATATAAACCAAGGTTTAACAGAATATGACCCAAATTGTTTTGCTATCCTCTCCTCCTACCTTTCGTTCTCCGGTAAATTTCTTTATGTAGTTTATCTTTTCTACCCATTTTACTTCCAGATTTCTTGTAAGTTTATAATTTTTGAAGTGTTAGCACTTTTGTTAAGTAGCTTTTTTTTTAATTAAGGTTTCTCAAACACTAAGGGGGTGTAGTCAAACTCGGATTTGAGATGATTTTAAAAGACTTTAAAATCCTAGTGTAGTTAATTAAAAGATTTTAAAGGATTTTAGAATCCATTCAAATCTACGTGTAGTCAATTAAAAGATTTTAAAGGATTTTAAAATCCATCAAAATCTAAGTGTATTAAAAAAATTAAGATTTTGGAGAATTTCAATAAGTTGTGGATTTTGTGGGATTTGAGAGCAAAAGTACATATAACCAAGACTAGAAAGAATCCAACCTCACCCCCCTAGGATTTCAAATCCTTCCACCACAATCCATTCAAATTCTTTAAAATCCATATGAATTTTGTAGGTGTCTTTAATCCTCTTAAATCCTATAAAATCTATCACTTTTAAAATCCCTTAAAATCTTTGTTTAAAATCCATATGAATTTTGTAGGTGTCTTTATTGTTGTTCTTGTAGTTTCTTTCTTTTTGTTACTCTATATTTTTTTTTTGTCCGAACTCTCGATCAATTCGATTCCTGTACTTAGTTTTCATGCCCTTTAATTCTTTCTTGCACTAATTAGTCGCTTCTCATGTATGCACTTCGATTTTCTATTGTTTAAAACATCAGATATCCTAAAAAAATGAAAACCATAAGAAAAAGAAAAAAAACCCTAAACCATTATATGCCAAGAGTTTTTTCTTTTCTCATGTCTGGAGATTTAAATGAGGGAAATAAACTTGGAATTTAAGTAAAAATCAGAATTTATAAATTGACATGCACCAATTTAGAAATTCTCTTGTTTTAGTACTTTGTTCAATTCGTGTACTTCTTTGTTGTGCATCTATATATATATATAATATTTTTTTTTATTGTTGATTGGATTGTATCAAGCACTTTTGGAAAAAGCCACTTCGTGACTCTTGAGAATCCAACTTTGTTTTCAGGTTCTCCCTTTTTTGACTAAAGAAAACATGGCCTCTTCCCATTTATGCTTCGCCTACTTTTTCATGATGCTCATGTTTAGATTCTGCATTCTACATGGAGCACATTCTGGTACTGCAACTCTCACCTCTGCTTAATTATGTATATACATAATACACCTGTGTGTGTGTGTGTGTGTGTGTGTGTGTCCTCATATCAAGATATAAATGTATAAGTGAGTGATTCATGACTTTTTACTTATCTGCAGCAACAACTTTGGAATCACAACATGCGAACTCAACCCACAGAAAGCTTTTGCAACAAGGTAAATATCAAATAAAAAATTTGTATTGTTATTGACACTTAAAAAATGTCATCTCACACTTCTCTGTACTATAGATTTCTCATCTTCGGTAGTCCATGACAATATAGTTTTTCATAAGTTTGTTGTCTTCACAAATAAATCAGAATTTCAAAATTTTGTTTAATTGTAACATGCTACTTAATTAATAAGGTTTGAATAAATTTTGTAGCGAGCTGCGGAGACAGAGACATAAGCATCTCACAGGGCCAAATTTCAGCAACTGGGATCCCAAAGTACGCAGTAGAGATTGTGAACACCTGTACTGATTGTGCTCCTTCACAAATCCATGTCCACTGTGGTCAGTTTGCCTCCGCAGAAGTTATACCCCCATCTGTCTTCACAAGGATCGCGGACGACGATTGCTTGGTGAATGGAGGAGAGCCATTGAGGCCCCATGATGTCATCAGCTTCACTTACGCTACCACCTTCAAGTTCCCCATTTCTTTTAAGTCTGCCCAGTTTTGCTGAGCCCCAAACACTTTCAAGAGATGATATAATAAACAGTTGCATCTTGCATGTAGCTCAGCTTTTAGTTTCCAAACCCTAGCTACTATAGCTAATATTTTATTTCCGATATGATTTATATGTTGATGTAATAATATTTTTTTATATTAAATTTTCAACTCCTGCGTAAGTTATGTGTTATTTTTTAGAAAAAAAAATGGCCTCACAAATTGCTTATTGTTCCTTAGGTATTTTGGTACTGTAGTTTTTGAATTAATGAACTCCGTATCTATATAGCCATGAATTTAGTACCAAATGCAAAAAAATTCTTTTTATTTTTTGGTGAACAGCTGCAAATATTATTTGATTTTGAAGATTGGAACAATTTATTTCCCCCATTCATTTCCTTCAGATACAGAAACCAAAACAAGATCTAACGAAGGCTTCAACCTAATTGGCAAAGTGTGCTGGAATATAATTTACAAGGCATGCATCGAACCTCCAAAACAATTTCTGTGATAGTTTCAATCCTCTATTCTCATATCTATCAAGGTGAAAAACTGAATTGAAGAAGCATAATATATAATATTAGAACACAGCCTACAAAACAAAATTCCTAGACAAAATAAAACATAGGAAAAAAGTGGTAAACGATATGCATAGTCTGTCTCATCTTCCTCTTGGATTCACTATTTGTGAAAAAACTGCACTTGTGTTTAAGTCATCGATCGTAGCCTCACTTGAAACGGTCTCTTCCTCAATTGTCAGTGTGGCATTGTGCATAGCATAAGCATCATTTGCTTTATCTTGAGCAGCAACTGCTTCTCCATCAGGGTTTTCATGCAGTTGAAGAGCAAACTCAAGGTTCCAAAGCACGTCCCCCATTGAAGGGCGTTCAAGTCCATGATCAGCTAAGCATTTCTCAGCTGTCTCTGCAAACTTTTTCAAGCACTCAGGATTAATAGGCGGCCCTGACTTGAGATGTGGATCAATAATTTCGAAGAGAATTCCCTTTTTTAGACAATGTATTGCCCAATCTGCAAGACTAACTTGCTCCTTAGGCAATGAAGCATTGAGGGCCGGCCTTGCACACAAGACCTCAAACAAGACTACCCCAAAAGAGTAAACATCAGATTTTTCCGTCAATTGTTGCCTCCGAAAATATTCGGGGTCCAAGTACCCAAAGCTGCCCTTCACCATTGTACTCACATGGGTTTGGTGAAGATTAGGACCTGTTTTTGATAGCCCAAAGTCAGAGACTTTAGCTACCCAATTCTCATCCAACAATATGTTTGTGGTTTTCACATCTCTGTGGATGATGGTGTATCTTGCACCAGTGTGAAGATAATGCAGTCCCCTAGCAGCTCCAATGCAAATTTCCAACCTTTGCTTCCATGACAAGGAAGGATTTTTGCTCTTGTACAAATGCTCCCTTAGAGTCCCATTAGCCATGTAATCATAAACCAGAATCATCTCGCCGTCCTCTTCGCAAAAACCAATCAAAGAGACTAAATGCCTGTGCCTGAGCTTTGAAAGCATCTCGATTTCCGTTTGGAACTCGTGAACACCTTGCTCTGAAGATGGATTTGATCTTTTAATAGCCACTTTGGTGCCTCCATCAATAATGCCCTTGTAAACCTTCCCAAATCCTCCAACCCCAATAACTTGAGATTCGTCGAAATTCTTGGTGCCATGTTTGATCTCAGGCAATGAGAAATGCCTGCAAAGACCTGCAGCCAGGCTCGAAAGATGGCTGCTACCTGTATTACTCTTGCCCGAAATAGTTGATGTGTTAGAGTTACCATAAAGAGGCAACCAATTGCCCATCCCGGGATCCATTCCACTCTTTCTCTTCTTCTTTATGTACACAGCAATGCACAATGCCGCAACCACAGCCGCGCCGCCAGCAGCCCCGCCAGCTATTCCAATTACTTCACCCTTGCTCTTGGACCCTGCTGGGGGAGAAAAAGTACTTGCTGCAGCAGCCTCAGCGTCTTGAAGCATCTTAGATGGCACAGGATTGGGACCGGCTAAATTCCCACGCGTATCATTGAGCTTAAAGATCTCCAAACCATTAAGAATCGAATCATAGTACTCTGGTTTCTCGGACACAGATGGATGCAATGCCACCCATATTTCTTCGTCACCATCTCTGTCATTAACAAAAGTTGCATAATCCTTGTAAACCGGCACTCCTATGGACCCTGACCAAGCAATAACGTCCGCAGTCTGCTGCGCTGTTTGGTTGTTGAGAAAAATATCGAACACCCTCTGATTGATCCTGGTGAGTTGAAGCTCACAGAAATGTAACCTAACAACATATGTGAAATTTGCATCAACGGTGAAAACCCATGTGAGATTGTAATTCTGATTGATTTTCGAATTCGGTCCCATCGATCGCGCAGTGCCGTAGACGTTGGGAGGAGCAATGTACTCCGGCAAATTACTAGGATATTTTATGCTAACATTTTTCTCAGCCTGACATGTGACTCCAAATGCTGCACCGAACAAGTACGGCGAATCGTCGTACCATGTTCTTGTCAGCCCCGAATCATTTCTTGTCGGAATAAACTGTCCACCGACATTGAGCCTAAACATTGTCTGAAGGGAAGAGTTTTGTACATCGATGGTTTGGTCCTGAAACCCGATCATGTTCGCTGGCTGAAACATCTCGGCCGGCATCGAAATTACCTCAATGCCATTGACAAAAGCATAGGACTTATCATGTTGCGACGAGGGTACGAATGTTATGTTGAGATTGCCGGATTGGGCGGGAACGAGTGAGAATTCTCTCATGATGTAGGCCTGCGTGAGAGCTTGGGTTGTAATGGCGGCGCTGAAATTGCGGAGGAGTGAAAACCCGTTTGCGATCACGTCGAAATACGAGTTCGAAGCCTCGAGGCCGTCATAGGAAGACGGATAAAAATGGAGCCTGACCAGTAGGCGCTGTCGTGGGGAAACAAAGAACTTGTAGGATGCTGCAGAGTTGAAAATTCTTGCAGACATGTACGGGATTTGGGAAGGCAGAGAAGGATCTTGGTATTGCGCCGTCGCGGTCTTTGAATTCTCCGAGGATTTTAGAAACCGGGAATCTGGTACCCATCTGCGGCCGTCGGAGTCGGTGCCACCGCTCGAAGAGCCGCAAGCAATGATGTAAGATTCAGAGCCAGTGTCTTTGCTGAGAACATGAATGGCGTTTAAGGAGAAGGATAATATGATCAGAGAAAGTAAAATGTGGGTTTTGGAGATCATAGCTGGAAAGAGAAACCCTTTTGATGGGAGATTCAGGAACTGAAAGGTGAGGGAGGAAGATGATCGATGTAGGACACAGGAAAAAAAATAGTACAGGAGAACAAGAACAAAAGAGGAAATGTTTTCCTGTCCAAAATGGACTTCTCTAGGGCTCAATTCAATGACAATAGTTTGACTGAAACTAGATCTGCTTTTTTTTGTTTCATTGAAAGGTAAAGATTGAAAATTTACCTGGGATTTTCAAGAGGAGGCAAGAATTACAAAATCAAACTGTGTTTTGCTTTCATTTCTTCTGTATTTTTTGTTCCTTTTTTTGTGAGGGAGGTTTTTTTGCCAGGGTCTAACGGGAACGTTAGGATAGGAGGGGTTGTTACTGGTTAGAGAGTAACGGGGCAAGAGAGAGGAACGGTAAATGCTCTTTGGTATTGACTGCCTTGGCGTTTCTTTAGGTTAGGTTTGGGTGGTGATGCATTTAGATTGTTGGGATATAAATGGGTAAATAATTACTGCACATCATTTTTTTCCTTTTGCACATTCATACTTATTTATGTTCATTGGTACTCGTGCTTTATTCGATTTTTTTTAGTACATTGATATTTTTATAGGAATGAAGAATTCGGCTCACTTTCAAGTATAGAGTAATACCACCAGACTATAGTACTAAGTGACTCGTGCTTCATTCGATTTAGATACTAGAATAAATATCAGTGTGCATGAGAAGAAAAATTGTGTGTAGAAATCATTTTTCTACAAATGTGCTGTTCCATAAAGGAGGTGAGTCAGCTTACTATGATGACTACATGAACATGTATACAATATTTATGCACAAAACACATCATCAAATAAGGAGAAATTTTGATTTTTCTTTCTTTTGTTATGTTGTTCACATTTAACTCGTCGTGCCTTACGCCTGTAAATAGATAGTCGAGAAAAGTCCCATTGAAATACCTACCTGTTAAAAAAAAAAGAGCTGTTTCTTAATCCTTTCTTAAATATTTTCTCACGTTAACCATTTTGATAAATGCCTTCAACGTGAGTACAACTATATATCTCGTAGTAGTCGAGCAACTTTTATAGTCTGTTTTTAAGAGAGAACCGAACGCCACGGCCACCATCACTAACAGTACCACCACCGGAACCAATAACTATTATGAATTCTGTAGGACTTCCATACGGAACCGTGACTAATGTGTTTAACGAATTAACACTTTTCTGTAACCAAAGTGCCATTTCCACTAGGTCCACCACCACACTCGATACTGTACGTTTCCTTGTAAATGGCCAACGTAGCAGGTTCCCATATACCAAAAAATCGAGTGGACAAAAATAACTTAAAGGATGCATGGCCCTTGTAAAGAGTCTTCTCTGTCTGGCTTTTCATTTCAAAATCACAACGCGCAGTTGGTACTTGTTGCACTGTAACGGGATGCCGCAGATGATACCTCTCCCTCTGGGCACGTAGCGAATGATGCTCACCATGTTATGCATTCAATTCCCCACTCGAAGATCACGCTTAGTCGAAGAGAGAAGAACAAGGTGGCACATCTATTGGCAAGACTGAGTTTGGCTTTAGACAATCAACTAATTTGGTTTGAGGAACCCTACTGTAATTTTGGATCTTCTCTTTGAGGATGGTACAACTTTGTAATTTGTTGCTGCTGAACGCTCTTTTTCCTTTCATCCGGTTTGAAATCCCCGATAAAGTTTTTATCGAGGCCCATTTATTGCACCCTATACTCAATTATGTTACATATTCCTTTGCCTATCAATGAATATCGTACTTGCTCTAAAATAATCACAAGTGCTTTTCTAAGATTTACTTGCATTTTTACTATAAATTGGTTCCAAAAATATTTTCTCTTAAAAAATTTCTCAAACAAGCCCAAGATTATGTTACCATTAGTCTTCCTTATTATAGCTAGATGGGTAAATCGCTAAAATGGTCCCTGAGATTTGCATAACTCATTACTTTGGTCCCTGAGATTCCAAGTCGAAAAAAGTGGTCCCTGAGATTGTCCACCATCCATCATTTTGGTCATTCCGTTAAAAACTCCGTTAAGTGTCCCAGAGCTTTTGGCCGGAAGTTTGGGCAATTTTCAAAGCTTCGTAACTCAATCGTTTCTTAATCAAATTCAACCCATAATATATCAAAATGAAGATAGGAAAGTGTAGAATAAGATTATACCTATTTTGAAGCACAATGGTTGCTGGAGATGGCCGAAAAATAGCCTCAAATTTGAAATTGCTCAAACTTCCGGCCAAGAGATCTGGAACACTTAATGGAGTTTTTAACGGAATGACCAAAATGATGGATGGTGGACAATCTCAGGGACCACTTTTATCGATTTGGAATCTCAAGGACCAAAGTGATAAGTTATGCAAATCTCGGAGACCATTTTGACGATTTAGCCTAGCTAGATTGCATGTGGAAAATTAAATAATGCTTTTTTCAGAAATCAATACACAAGTTGAAGGAAAAAACAATTACGGACACTCAAATTTTGTGATTATCTCAAAGTTACAATATTAGTGTTAGTAAAGAGTTTATACGTCTCAGGACTTTTCAAACGCGACAAGGATATTTACACTAATTGTTAGCTTATATAGGTGAAATTAACCCTGAGTCAAATTTATTCAGACCATAGTCGACCATCTCAAATTAAAGTTACAAAAAAGAATCAAAATTGTCAAATTTAAACAAATTTAAAATTAAAACCAGTGAATCAAACTTTTTGGAGTATAATTACAAGGTATCCTTTCCAGAAAATCACTTCAAAACCCTAGGCAGTGTTTGCCAGTATACCCCTGGCTGCAGCGTCTGCCTTAAGAAGCATTTTTGAAGGCACAGGATTTGAACCCGCCAAGTTCCCGTGCTTGTCATTAACCTTAAAAACCTCCAGTCCATTGAGTATGGCATCATAGTACTGCGGATGCGTCTTCACATTCGGATGCAAACCCACCCAAAGAAGATCATCACCGTCTCTGTCGTTCACATGAGTGGCATAATCCTTGTAAACCGGGATTCCGATTGCCCCGGCCCACTGGATCACATCCGCCGACTCCTCCGCCGTTTTATTGTTGAGATATATATCGAACGTTCTCTGGTTCACCAGTGTGTTTTGAAAGTCGCAGAAATGGAACCGAACGACGTAGGTGAAATTTGCGTCCACCTGAAAAACCCAAGTGAGGTTGTATTTCTCGTTGAAGTGAGGGTTCGGCCCCATCGATCTCGCAGTTTTGTACACCGTTAGAGGAGCAATATATTCGGGGACGTCCTTCGTGTGTCCGATGGTGACATTTTCAGGAGCTTTGATCGAAACCCCGAGAAATGCCCCGTCGAAATACGAGGCCCCGTAAGCTGAATTTAGTAGGTATGGCGAGTCGTCCCACCATGTTCGTGCGAGTCCCGAATCCTTGTTTGCGGGAATGTACTCCCCTCCGACGCTTAACCTGTACATTGTCTGGAGGGAGGAGTTTTGGACGTCGATAGTTTGGCCTCGGAAGCCGATCAAGTCGGTCGGCTTGAAGATTTCCTCCATTGGGATCACCTCCACTGAGTTCACGAAAGCGAACGTATTTTCGCGATTCGGGGACGGCGTGAACGTGATATTGAGAATGCCGGACTCGGCGGGGACAATTGAGTACTCTCTTATGATGTAGTACTGCGTGAGGGCCAACGCTGTGATGAAAGGACTGAAGTTTTTAAGCAGGGTGAGGCCGTTGGCGGTGACTTCGAAAACCCCGTTCAAGGAATCGGCGGAGTCGTACGTGGATGGGTAGAATTGGAACCTGACCAACATGCGTTTGCTTGATGGAACAGAGAACTTGTATGATGTTGCAGAGTTCATGATTCGTGCTGTCGTGAATGGGACTTTGGATGGCAGGGCAGGGTCTTGGTACTCGGCTTTCGCAGTCTTCGTATTGTTGGAGGCGACGAGGTATTTGGAATCCGTTGTCCATTTCCGGCCATCAGAATCCGTTTCCCCGTCGGAAGACGAGCCACAGGAAAGTATATAGGACTCTGAGCCGGAGCCTTCGCTTCGAACACGAACGGTGTTTGATGAGAACAAGGATAACAAAACCAGAGGAAACAAAATGTGGGATTTGTAGATCATTGCTGGAAAGAGAAACCCCTTTGAGAGGGGATTTGAGAGGTTAGTGGTGAGGGAGGAAAAAGGTCTATTGTGTTAGAGTACAGGAAAACTTGGAAACTTGGAAGAAAACAAATTGTTTGGCTTTCATTTTTACTGCATCTTTGTTTTCTTTTTGATCTTTGTTTTCTTTGGAAATTGATTGTGTGTGTGTTTTTGTCCCAGGGGTGTAGGGGACGTTGGGATAGGAGGTCGGTATTGGTTGGAGAACAACGGTAAGACAGAGAAACCGCTAAATTGTCATTCGCATTGACCGAGTCCCGGATGATATTTTGGGTTTTGCATATATAAGCCTTTATCCAAAGGGATCCCCATTTTCAATGGCCTCATATTTTTCTTTTGTCACCTAAAGTTACGTAATAAATATGAACCTTATAAATTTTTAAGTACATTCATTTTTGTTGTTGTTTATTAAGAAAACGAAGGATTCAAGCTAGAAACCTCTTTTCTACAACTGAGAGAAAAATATTGCTAATTAAACTAAGTGTGTTAGGTTGTAACAATGCATAAACAAATCATATTTTATGAATATGATTTAGTTTTTTAGTTGTATAAAGGTAAACTAAGAGTGATATCCACGAATGGAGAAAATGGAAGAAGTAGTCTGGCAATTCAAGGAGCTAACCATTATTCAATGGAAGGAAGAAAGTTTGGAATTGTTTCTGGGACTGAGGATTTTACATTCGTTAAGGGGTATGGGATTATGGATACATAGAATCATAGATCTGTTCTTAAGTTGAATGTCAAACTAAAGCACTATTAGTGAAAGTAAACGGCATTTGGTTTCTGTTTGTTTTTGCAAACTGTTGTTATTGACACTGCAAAAAGTTAGTCTTACTCATACAGCCATACTTATAATAGCAACAACACTGCAAAAAAGTCGGACTCACTCATACTTATAATAGCAAGTGCTTAGAAATTGTCCCAACTTTACAACTTAGGTGTTGAGTTTGTAAGAAAAGACTTACTCACACTTATAATAGCAGGTGCTTAGAAATTGTCCAACTTTACCACTCAACAGTTTGTAAGAAAAGACTTTATGTTGTACCCACCCACCCCCACCTGTTTTTTTAGCTATATTTCTATATTCCTCCTGAAACATGTTTAGGTCTATCAATTTAGTCTTTATTCTCATTTAAACCTAGCCATCTCTCTCTCTCTCTCTTCCTTTTAACCGGTTCTTCCACTCTCTCTCTTTTCCCTTACATTTTTTTTTTCTCTATCTACCCACTCACCACCATCAAACACTACTTTACATTTTTTTTTATTAAAATGTACTTTTACTCTCTCTCTTTTTCTTTTTCTTCATCCCTGCAACCTCACTCTCCTTCTAACTCCCGAAGCTCTCTCTCTAGCTCCATCAAAACCAGCCACCACCAGTGCTCGTTCCTTCACAAATTTAACCCCAAATCTTGATACTTCGAACCTTTGGGACATAGGGAACACGACTGCAGCTTTGCATGCAACATCAGAGCAACTCCGAGTCCTCTGCCATTGAAGACCCGAGAGCTTTGAGCTCTTACCCTTAATCTCAGCCCTGTTATCCGCTACATGTGCATGCATACCTTCCCCGAGGACGAACTTCGGCGAGTTTGTTGCTGTGGGTGCACGGACCCCTTTGAATTCGAACCCAGGTAATTAATTACCTTGTTGTTTGTTGGTCAGTGTCGTAAATGTGTGTGCAGTACAGTGTATGTGTGGTGTGGGCTGCGATGTGTGTGTGTGTGTGTGTGTGTTGTGCTATGTGTGTTGTGTCGTGTGTGTGCACGTGTGCAGTGTGTGTGGTGCACGTGTGTGTGTGTGTGTAAGCGTGTGTGAATGTGTGTGGTGCACGTGTGTGTGTGTTGTGCATGTGCTGGCGTGTGTGTATGTGTGTTGTGTGGGTTTGGGCTCAAGCCAAACCACCCCTTTGTTCCTAAACTATCCAAACCCAAAACCCAATAGGTCCTAACCCTATTTAACCTAAACCTAAACCCTAATCCGGATCCAAACCTAAGACCCATTTTCATTTCTTGAAATTCTATAGTTGGGTAATTTGATAAATTGTACATTTTTTTGTGCTTAGGTGAAGTTGCTAATGGGAAAATTCTTAATCCTTATACACACAACTCTATTGCTACGGAGTATCTGTGAGTGGACCCCTTCTAAAATTACATGATTTCATAGTTTAATTGCATAAATGAATAGCATGCCTTACGAGTTTATGAACTGATTTTATATTAAGCATGTTTATGGAACATGTTGCATAAATGTCATTGCTTACATAGACATGATGTCATCCCCTCAAACCAAATAATGGGACGTCTATGTTTACAACATAAGTCTTGTTTCTCCCACGTTTTTTGTGCAGCCGATGTGGGATATGAAAACGTATACACAAACAGCGAAGTGAAGATGGTATTGCCAAAAGCTAATTGGAACTTCAATTTCAGAAAATAAAAGGGGATACGAGCTGGGATGAGGAGCGAAGGTCTAAAATAAAATTGAACTAAAGCACCGTCACAAAATTGGTTTCCAACAAGGATGATTGGTATTGCTTAATATATGTTGGGCCTTGAAAATTTTAACCTAGAATTTGGTGGGTCGTGCCAGGCCCAAGCAATAGTGCAAAGCTTGGGGGACACGCAAGAACCCCAGTAGCAAGCTAATGTAGCGAGCCCTCACCCTAAAAAAATTAATTTAATATCATGTAAACCATTGATTCACGTATCAGATATTAAACTGATAAGAACAGATACTACACTTGATCTTAGCCAAAAGGCCGAGAAAGGTATGCTTATGTCAAATATTGAGCATTCATTTTTATACGCAGCTTTGTTCTTCTACTTTTGTCCGTGGTCGATGTGGGATTCTAATGCACTATTTCGAAGTACTCTTTCTGTCCACGTACTTCAACCCAAGCACACCTAGCAGCTCCCGCAAAGCATACATAGAAAAGCAAATGGATTAAGCTAATAAAGATAAAAAAAATAGAAAAAATTAGTGAAAGTACATAACTCAAAACTACAGCTCTTGGGAAATATCCGTTAATGGATGTTTGAATGATGGCTTTGAGCTTCTTCTGCAATGCTTCAATTCTCCTCACCACCAACACCAAGTCTTCTCTCTCTCTCTCTCTCTCTCTCTCTCTCTCTCTCTCTCTTTTCTCTCTCTCTCTCTCTCTCTCTCTCTCTCTCTAACAGTTAAGTTTTGTGCTAAAAATTTCAGCCAAGTGAAGGTTACAAGCAGCAAAAGGCCTTGAAGAAGGAAGAATCTTCATAAGACTGTTGGGATTCCATCAAAACTCATCTCCAGCAAAATCTCTTGAAAATGCTGGGTCAAGCTCATCTGCGGTGCGCTCGGGATGTGGTTGATATCAGGAACCGTCTCTGGTTTACACTCTTGCAGGAGGTAATTAATAAATTTAACTGATTTAATGCTGACCAAGTGAGATTAGATATTGGATTAAATTGATGTTAATTGCTTCACAACCGATTGGTTGCGATTGGTTGCAGTTGATTGCATAGACTGCGCAGCGGATGTGTCAGTGGTGAGTGCAGTGAACGAGGGGATTGATGCAGCAGTTGGCATTTTTAGTGGAATCACCACACGGCGTCGCTTGTATCAAGGATTATCCAGAGCATCTCCTTCAGGCACTTAAGAGAGGCCGTTTCTTTGGTTGGGAAACTGTCAGTGTCAAATGTTCCAATAAATACTTGGGTAATATAGGCTACGTTCGGCTTCTTGGTTGGGCTGTTAAAGACTAAACTATGATTTGGTGGGTTGTGCCAGGCCCGAGCAGTAGTGCAACTCTTGGACGACACTCAAGGACCGCAATAGCAAGCTATTGTAATGAGCCCTTACCCTTAAAAAATTAATTTAATATCCTGTGGACCATTGGCCCACGTATCAGATATTAAACTGATAAGAACAGATACTACACTTGATCTTAGCCAAAAGGCCGAGAAAGGTATGATTATTTCACTGTTGGGCTTCCATTTTTATACAAATTAACTCTCCTAATTTAATAAGCTGGCTGATGTGGGACTATAATACTTTCTTGCAGTGATGTTTCTAACAATTATATCTTATCACTCTCAGGCCTATAAAACCACTTCTTATCACCAAAATCCAGAAATTAAAATAAAACTTAACACTACTAGGAAACTAAGCTTTACACTAGGACCTCTACTCTTTAGGATGACTCAAGCTAAGAATATTGAACAAAGAGGGTTAAACAAACAAACTCTCTTTAACGATACTTCAATATCTTACAATGCTTGGTGAACTAAGTATGAATGCTCAACCAAGTTTTGTAGACAAGGGAGGAAGTCTTTTGAACCTCATCTAGGACTAAGAGAACATTATATTCTTTTGTCGCTTACCTACAACAATGAAAGGGAATCCTCTCTTTACAACTTATTAGACATTACTTTATTCACACTTACATTTTATATTCATAGATTCTTATTTTTGTCACATCACTATTATTTTAAGATACTGTTTCTTTGGATATCACTTAATGTCTTGTCGATGCACGAGTCGTCATCATATTCCACCACGCTTCCGCATGCCTTAGTCCCATCATCACTGGGCCAGTACTCGTCATCCAGCTCTTCCGAATCATCATCATACCCATGCCATTGGTCTTGTTCTTCCAGTACAAGAGTTGTAGCTGAGATCAACTCATCCACTTTCTGGCTGCATCTTGGAGATTGGTACTTCTTCTCCATGCTCGATTCGAACGACAAAGCTCGAAAACAAGAAACTAGATGGGTAAGTGGAATCTGAAAAGTAACTAGTTAATGCTTCTACTCACTGGAGAGATTGCAGAATGCTATGGTTGAACATGCCCGCATGATATCATACCATTCCAATCTGATGCATCTAACATCTTTTAGGGATCATTTGGTAGTAAAGTTAACAACAAGATAGTAAAATTTGTATCCCATTCCACGTTTGGTGATTTTTCGTTTTCATGATTT